AGCCCTTGTGACCATCAGCTATTTTTTCTTTTTGTTCTCACAATCCTGAGTGGAAACAAACACTCTTCTGAGAAGTTGCAAAAACTCATTGAAACTTTATTCAAACTGATTTTCCCTCCCGGTCTCTCTTGTTCTAGTTGTAAAATGAGACTTCAGACCTGGGTGCCAGTTGACAGATGCTACTGTTGAATAATTGGAGGCTTTCACGCCGGCCAGTTGGTGACAAGGCGGCCACTTTATGCCAGGCCTCCGGCTACTGACAGTGGCGTACACCGTGCTTCCTGATGCTTCCCTTCTTCTTCTCTTCTCCTCAGTGAAGCCGGTGGTGGATGAGTAGAGGGTGCAAAAGTGACTCAGTGGCACCAGCGCCTGTGGAGCGGGGGACTTCTGGCCTCAGTGTGCCTCTTTTCTCCTTTTTTGATTTTTCTGAACCATAGTCATGAGAGGAACTGAGGGAGTTGAGGAATGAACATCAGATGCCATCATAACATTACCAAGGATTTGTGTGAGCCCTCTGCCTTGCTGTCTGTCCATTTCAGTGGGAGTGAGTACAGCTCGCAGTCCTGCCTTTGCGCTGGATGATGTGGGAAGATTTGAAAGCACCAGTGTCTAGGTTCTGTGCTCACAGATGCGGTTTAATTGGCTTGGGGTGTGGCACAGACACCAGAATGTTTCAAATCTTCCTAGTCTCCAAGGTTTCACCAGGATGTGACTATAAAAGGTCATGTGCTTTACTTTTTTATTGTAAAATATAAAAACACTACCATAAATGTCAACTAAACAATTTGTTATAAAACGAACAAGTACCACAGTCCGGCACAAGAAAGAGGACATTGCCAAACACCCAGTGCTCTTGTTTTTCTTTTTTATTTTCTTTTTGTATTTAGGACAGGGTGTACAGGGTGTATAGGGTCTCACTACTAGATCAGATTCCTAGTGATTTTCCTGTTTACAGTCTCCCAAGTGCTGGGTTTACAGGTGCATGCCACCACGCTGTCTCAATCCCAGTCTCAGCATGCCCCGGGGGCGAGGCCGGCACGGCAGTCCGAGGGATCGAACTCCCAGCCCCTGCATCTGCCTAAGCAGGTGCTTTAATCTGCAGAGCTATTTGGCCAGAAATTATTTATTTATTTATTTATTTATTTAGCGGTATGGGGATTAAACTCAGGACCCTGTGCTTGCCAGGCACACACTTTTCTTTTTCTTTTTTTTAAATTTATGTGTGTGTGTGTGTGTGTGTGTGTGTGTGTGTGGCCAGCTCAGCCCACCAGGGGGCGGGCTGGCTGGCATGTGGTGCTGGGGGATTGAACCGAGGTCCCTGTGCTTTGCTAAGCTTGTTCTAAGTAGGTGCTTTAGACCACTGAGCCATCTCACCAGCCCCTGGGCAGATACTTTTCTACTGAGCTATCTCCCCAGCCCCTTTGGGCTCCTGATTTTCTGTCACACTTCTTTTCTAACTCTCTGGAGGTTGCCATTGCCCTGACGGTTCCTAATCCCTGTTCTGGTTTGTCTTATAACTTATGCATTCTAGAGCCATGCCTCTTAGGCTCCACATCATGTTTTTTACCTTTTATTCATTTATGGTTTTAGATGTGGCTGTATGTCATTCTGTAGCATTTTATTATATCAGTATATGTAGCATCTTTCTCAGCGTCACCTTGGTAGGTATTTTGACTGTTTTGGTTTTGGACCATTACGGCCAATGCTTCCGCTTCCACGACAGTTTTGCATGTATTGTGGTACATGCCATCAACATTTCTGAGTATATATAGCTGGAAGTATAGCAGGTATCTTTGTCACTGTCCTGATACTGGGACAAAATGCCTGACACCACAACGTAGAGGAGGAGAGGTGAATTTAAGAGCGTGGCTTTTAGAGAATCCAGTCTAGTCTGGTGGCCGCAAGCCAAGAAGGGCATAGTGGGAGAGACCACCTCACCTCATGGAGGCTGCCAGGAAACACCAGAGGAAGCAGGGGCTAGAGCGAGAAGCCACCCTTCCAGGCCACACCGCAGTGGCTCCTTCTCACCAGGCCCCACATCCTAGCTGCACATTCACCTTTGAACATATCCATGGGTGAATCCACTGAATGCCTCCCACAGTGGAGTCACCTCCGACACACATGAGGCTTTGAAGCGACAGTTTGGATCTAAACCCTGACAGCTGGACATTCGCTCATCAGAAGGTGGAGACTGAGGCTGGGCTGCGGTTGTGGTGCCTCTGGGGCCAGGCTATAGTTGGAGTCTGGGATTCTAATCCATTCCTGCCCTGGCTGGGGCCTGGCAGGGGCAAGTGGTGTACCTGGGAGTGTGGCCGACCTGCAGGAGGCAGCTAGGAGGCTCAGTTGCTTTCGGTGGTTTCCCTGGGTGAAGGGATGAGACACACTGCCTGCCAAGGTACAGACCCCGAGGACTCGCCTCCCGCTCTGGGCTGGGACTCAAGGGCGACCTCCTGGTAGTGCGGTCATGGGCTCTACTGTAGCGGGACAGCTGGCCGACCCTCTTCCCACCCACTGCAGCTGGGCCAAGCAAATAAGGAGAGTCCCTGGAGGAAGCTGAGGTCACCCAAGGCCTGGAGGTAGTTAGGAAGTTCTGATTCATTTCTTGATCTTGACAGGTAATTCCCCACTATCTTATTCATTCTCAGATGCCTCATTTCTCGTGGCTGTCTTCCGTGGGAAGTGTGGCACAAATGCATGGCTTTGGCTCGTGCCTCCTGCCCTACGTGGGTAGCGTAGGCCTGCTCAGAAATCTCTGCTAAAATAACTTAGGGGCTTCCGGGGAGCACCAGAAAGCTTTCCTGGCCTCTACTCATAGGCGCCCGAGTCTCTAGACAGTCCCTCTGTCTTCTGCAGGCTCTGTCTCACCACGTCGAGTTTCTGATCCTTCAGGTGACTTTGTGTTTCTGCCAGCTTGTCCCATGTTGCTCCCAGTGTGGGCAGGCTGTGGTGTGTTCGAATTGGCCCATTCTGGTTTCCCAAGAGCTAACTGTTAAGTTTTCAGGAATTTTATGAGCTGGTGGTTAACTACAGGCATTATGAAAAATTCAATTATACAAATTTATAATTTATAATTTATAATTCTATTAAAGACAAAACCCAAATCCATACACTCTCAACTCATCACGTCCTAATTATTGTACCATGTGTTCCTTCTTAGGCTTTGGGGATGCCTCTGCTGGCTTTGCCTGGTGGGATGTTAAGTAACGCTGTCCGATCGCGCCCCTCGGCCCGACTCTGCATGTAGGACAGCACTGCTTGAGATCTACCCTTGAGGGACTGGAGTCTCTGGCCACTGCAGATGCCACAAATTAAGGCCTTTCTAAAAAACCACTTCTTAAATGCACATTAGGACATAGAGCCCCTTTTCAGATCCTTAGAGCGGCTGAGTTCCGAGCAGATGATGAAGCGGACAGGACTCTGGGAACACCAACAGGGAGCTAGCACGCGGAGCGCTCGGAGCTGGTGATGAATGGCGCCTGAGTCTCTAGCTGTGCTGCTTGACGGCTCCTCTCTGGGCTGCTCTGCCCAGTTGCTGTCTTGGCTGCTGGGCGAACCCATTTTCCCTGCCCCGTGCTGGCCTCCGCTCAAAGCTGATGATGTCGAGCTGCTCTTTCCAGTGTGGATTCCAGGCCCCAACTCCAAGATACACAGACAATGAGCACAGTTCTCTCCCTCACCCACCCGCCTACTCTCCTTTCCCCAGCTGTTCTTTCTCAAGATCGCTGTGGCCCTGCATCCTCCCGGAGGGCCACAGCAGGGATCCGCAGGGTCTTGCCGTCCTGCAGATGCCAGCTTTGCCAGCGATGGCTCGGGTGCGGTGAGCAGTGCAGTTCACAGCGCCTCTGGCATCCGGTTCTGAAGAATCCCACACACGCCGCAGTACAGGCTGGGCCTGGGCCCTAAGCATGGCCTGCGCGTCCCCGGCTTCTCAAACATGCTCCATGCCGGCTCTTGAATGCTTCTGTCGCAGACAGCAGTGTGTGCGATTGCCCTTCCTTTTGGATCTTATCTCAGTGGTCACTCCCTGAGACCTTCTTTGATCACTTCATCATCATTTAAAGCTTCTCAGCCCCTATCTTCTTCTTTCCTGGTGCTTATTTTCCTCATTCATTCGCCCTGCATAAAATCTGGTTTTGTTTGTTATCCTCCCCATTCAATCACAGATTCCACGACAAAGCTTTTATGAATGATTGCGTAGAATCGCCATTCTGTAGCACCTACAGCCAGGCACGTGGTGGCTCCTCTGTGAGTACCGGCTGAATGAGTGACTGAGCCAGTGATTTCAGGGCGGTTGAATGAGTGTGCTCAGGAGCCGGAGACTGCCTTTAATTTTTCCCTGTGACCGCAGTGAGAGGCTGATAGATCCCATTCCTGCATCCCCACGCACTCACCAACAGCGTGAGGACGGAAGGCCTGTTCCACGAGCCTCCTCACCTCCAGGGAGGCTCGTGTCGGGGCCTCTGGACGACTTACTCTGTGCAGGTGTGAAGTGACTGTTTTCTTGTCTTCCTTGCTTATACTTGGCACCGTTAGTGGTTGGTTCCATTCTCACCTTGCCCCAAAGCAGTCCCAGGAAAAAGTTTGCACTGGGACACAGGGCAGGGCTAACAGGCTTGCTCCTGCTTTTCCTCTGGAATAGGTCAGCTCCTTGAACTTCCCACAAGCCATTGCAAACCGCAGAGTGAACCTGAAGGCCACTGCCGGGTCTGAGGTCTCTCCTGTGGCAGCATAGTACTTCAGCTCATCTTGTGTTTCTGCTGCTACGTGGGGAGACAGTGGCATCGCTCAGACACCGAGAACTGCAGTGTAGGGAGACCTGGTGTCCCCCAAAGCCCACAGAGCCGAGGAGAGGCAGAGCCTCAGGGACAAGGCATATGTGGCCATCGCCAGAGCCAACTTCTACCCTTCAGCAGCTTGGGCTGTCTAACCCAGGGTCCCCAGAAGGAGTGGCCCTGCTTGTGGCGACAGCACTCCTCATCGATGTGTTATTTTCTTTTTAGACTGTGTATGACCAGTGGTTCATCACTCTTTTCAACATCGTCTACACGTCATTACCGGTTCTGGCCATGGGCATTTTTGACCAGGTACGTGTTTTTCTCTACCTCACAGCTTGGCATCTCTGTCGTACCTTCCAGTTGCTTTGGCTTCTTAGTGGAAGATCTGATTCATGAAATGCACTCTAGAAATACCCTTGGTTTAAAAGAGGCTCTTTGAATTGCAGACCTTTCCAGATCCTGTGACCCTGCTTCTCCCGAAAGGTTCCCTGGTCATACTTCAGCTACTTTCTTCTTAGAGATTCACACTCCACATTATTGATATAAAGGCTCTGAGAAGTCCTGCAGAAAACAGTCTCTTTTATTTTAGCCCAGCACTCCCCAAACTCCAGGGACTGTCCTCCTGCCTTTTTCCTCTTTGTTCCATATCATGCCATTTGTGTCACACCCTGTGAGATGCTCCTTCAGCCTCTGAGAGATTACAGAGAACCACCATGTAGTGTAGACAGCAAACCAAGGAACCAGCCCAGGGACCTAGCCTAGAGGTGAGGCGTTTGGCCAGCACAGCCCAGGAATGGGCTCTATGGGCCATAGGGCCACAGTAGAAGAGGACCGTGACTTGGAAGGCACTTCCCGCGGCCTGTGGGGAAGTGGACGGCTGCACAGTTCAGCTTCCAAGGCATAATTAGAGCATAGGATTTTTGAAAGTGTGGGCTTTTTGTTGTTTTGAAGTATTTTTAAGGAGACCAGATTTCCTCCCGGCTGTTGTTAGATCCATTTGCAAGGCCTCATTTTCTGGCCTAGTGCCATCAATTGCAAAATACAGATCTTGACGTTCTGAGCTCACCGGGCTTGCCCGCCGCCCCGCGGGCTTTGTAGTCAGTTCTAAGCCTCCCTTTGCATGTGCAGAAAGGGCAGCTTGTGAGAAGCATATCTGGGGATATTCTTCAAAAAAGTAATGAACTTCAGAAGACCTTGGATGTAAAGGATTAGGTGGATTCACTTCCAAGTGCCCATGTTTACAAGTGTTTCTTTTCTTGGTGCTTTGTAGCTGCCCAGAATGTGGAATCAAATAATAAAAATAAAGCAGTTTCTGGGAAAACACAGTTATTGTGCAACTCAGAAAAATATAATAAAGCTCCTATTGCCATCCAGTTGAACGTCTGCTTCTTTCTGCTCTGCTTTGTCGGGTTTGGCCCTTTTGCTAGTCACATGATCCCGGGACATTGTTCTGGAAGGGACTCTGAGGTCCTCTGTCAATCCGTTCATTTTGTAAGGAGTCAAGTGTCGGAGGTTCAAGTCATTCTCCTCATTCCTCATAGCTGATGAGTGACAGAACCATCTAGAACCAGGCCACTTGACACTGGGCTACTGCCCTGTGACTTTGCTATCAGTTCTTTTTTTTTTTTTTTTTTTTTTTGGTATTTTAGGGAAGGGTCTACAGGATGTTCAGGGTCTCACTACTAGACTGGACTTGTAGTGATCCGCAGTTTACGCGCCTCCCAAGAGGCTGGGATTACAGGCGTGCGTCACCACACCCAGTTTCGCCATCTCAGCTCACCCCGGGGGCGGGGCCCAAATGGCAGGCCCAGGGATCGAACCCCAGCCCCTGTGCCCGCTTGCAGGTGCTTTAATCCGCTGAGCTATTTGGCAGCCCGCTATCAGTTATTTTATTTGTTATAGATTTAGGATATGGCAAGGATTCCTTTTTTTTTTTTTTTTTTTTTTGCGTAACTGGGGATTGAACTCAGATCCTTGAGTTTGCCAGTCAAGCGCTTATCCTACTGAGCCATCTCCCCGGCCAGCAAGGATTCCTGAATGTTTCACATCTCATTTAAGTGGCTCTAGGAGGTGGGTGTTATGTTTGCATGTATGGAAATGGGGAAACTGAGGCTCAGAGTGAATAAATACCAGGTCTTTGAGCCGGTACTGGCTGCCCTGTTAGTAGGCTTCGCCTCCAGCTATGTGGCTGCACGACCTCAAAGCCTGCACATATCACCGTGCCAGTCACCACACCAGAGCGAGGTGCCCGGTTAGGGTCTCAAAGCAGGACTTTCTAAAGAGAACACGTCTGTGCCCTGCACGACACAGCTTGCTGGGGCTTCTGGCACTTGGCTGGTGCCAAACATTCCAATTTCTTGGTCCCAAATCCTCGGTACTTGTCGTTGAATACTCTCTGGATGAAACACTCGGGTCCTAACCCTTCAGCCACAGCCACCTTAGATTTCGGACTGGCAGGTCTGCCTTCCCAGCTCTGCTGCCCCTGCTGGCCACCACCCCGCACTGCACCGTGGGGCAATCCTCATGGGTCCCCTGGCAGTGCAGTGTCCTGGAGGTTTGGAAGCTCCTGAAGAGTCTGCAGCCCCCGCTAACTGCGGGGGAATGCATAAAAGACACTTTGATTGGAATCCAAGAACCTGGGTTCAAGTCGAGTCGAGTTCAATGTCTGCTCCTTAAGATCTGGGACCTCTCATGAATTTCTTTTGGAGATTCAGGCTCCTTCCTGTACAACAGAGATCATTTTATTATCTTTTGGGCTGGTGCAGGAATGAAAACAAGGTAGTGTCTTGTGGCCCAGTGCATATTCGGGCATGCTTAAAAGGCCTTTGCTATTTCTGGATGCAGGGAATACAGGGCCTCCCTGGCTGTCCTCCACCCTTCCCCGCCCCCACTGACATTACACTCTGTTTATAGGACGTGAATGACCAGAACAGCATGGACTGTCCCCAGCTCTATGAACCTGGGCAGCTGAACTTGCTTTTTAACAAGCGTAAATTCTTCATCTGCATGGCGCATGGAATCTACACCTCGCTAGTCCTTTTCTTCATCCCCTACGGGGCCTTTTACAATGTAGCTGGAGAAGACGGACAGCATGTGGCCGACTACCAGTCCTTTGCCGTTACCATGGCCACATCTCTGGTCTTTGTGGTCAGTGTGCAGGTAACCCTATCCCCGAGCACCTCATGACTGACTTTACAACTTTCAGAACCCCAGGTTGTTGTTGGCTGATTTTGTCTACTTGTTGGCAGGAAAATAATCCTAAAAGAAAACTGATGCATTTTTTTGTTTTGTTTTGTTTTAGTTACACATTTTGAGATGAAAATAGGAAACTCTAACACGAATTCCCAGATGTGCAGGAGTAGGAGTAGGTGTCTGTAACTTTCACATTTGTAGAAGCCCCATGAAGAGTCACTTTTTCAGGTGGGCACGGTGTTAAGAGCAATGGTCCTCCGACTACTTCCTGCTTGTGTTCCAGTGTTCTGCGAAGAACAATGTTCCAGTGATAAGAGGATGAGACTTTTCCCCTGGTATCTTTAAGACTTGACAGCCTCCAGGTTTTAAGTGAGAGCTGAAATTCATTTGGCTGTGCATTTCTGTAGAGTTACTCAAGAGGCTTAATGTTCTGTCTGTGGCACATCCAAATCTCAAAAGTAGGAACCTGCTCTGGTGGAGACCGTCTGTGATATGCCGTGACTTTCTGGGCTGTCGTGAGCTGGGTTTCTGCTGTAATGCCAGTGGTGGCCAGTACCCTAACGCACTGAGGTAGAGCTCCCTAACCCTTCCGATCGCTTGATATCTGTCATTCTGGGTGGATACGGAGATCAATATGACCTTTGTGAAGAATCAAGTGACAGCCTCTTTGTCACAAAGTGTATGTTTCCAGTTCTCTGGACTCTATCTAGGGAGGGGAGGGCAGTTCTGGGTGACAGGGATGCGTGGCTTTTAGTCATTGAGCTTCTTTGCCTGTGCTCACACCAGGCTGGTGCTTGGTGCTCTGAGGGGTGATTTGAAGGCCACAACTGAGATATGAGGCCAATTTGAAGGAAAAGGAAATGGAAGGCATTCCTCAGATGGCCAGAGCCTTATCTGCTAGATAAGGAAAGGTAATAAATTAGCTAGGACAGTCAGAACCTTCACAATTAGTCGTACATAGTTTAAGTTTCTTTCTTTCTTTTTAAAAAAGCCTAGTGTATCTTTTTCTCTGTTTCCTTTTGCTTTTGAATAAATTATTTTCTTATATGCTATCCTAGCAATGGCTATGCTGTGTTTTTATATTAACTGTATATTTATAAGATGTTTTCCCATAAGGCACACAGTTCTTGCTGCTTGGATACCAGGGTTACATCTCTCCTGTGTTAAAATAATCCTATGTTAAAAATATTGCTTAGTCACAAAACAAGAAATTATACCCCTGTATTTGGAGTTTTTGAAATAAGTTATCGCAGATTTCTAGCCCTTGATTACTGAAGGTAATAGCCACTCAGAGGGGACCCCCACTGAGGACTCAGAGTAGCAGTTGGCCCCTGACTCAGGCAGTTCCCAGTGGTGGTGTCTGTGTCTACTCAGGTTAGGCCTCAGTGGCCCTTTGCTTCTCTGAGAGTCACTCCCTGGCTTCCACCTCCTGAGGGCAACAGGCCCTGCACTGGTCAGGTCGCCTCACGCGCGGCACCTCAGGCGTACTGCTTCCCACCAGTCTCTCACCTCTCCTACACGTCTCTTCCTCTCTGCCTGGATATTCTCTCCCTCTGGGTCCTCAGATGCCAGCCTCTTTGGGGAGGTCTCCTGAGCCCCCCACTGAAGCCAGGTCCGTTATTCTCTCCTGTGGAGCAGGATTCATCCCACTGTTGGCCTCACAGCTGTCGCCTCCACTTGGATGCGTATCTTATTCCCTTGTGTGGTATCTCTCTGGCCTCTCCTCGGAAGCCACAGGAAGCAGGGATGGTGCCTGTTTTGTTCTCTCCATGTGTCAAGGTCTAGCACATCACCTGCAGTAGGACAGACACACAAGGACATGTCCTGAGTATTGAAGAAATGAGGGAGACCTTTCAGGGACATTTTCCTTCTATTGATTCTATCAGAAAAGGAGGCTTCTTTTGTGCATGTCAAATCCCTGGGCCTTATAACTGGCTTAGAGTTACAGTTCTCCAGTGTGCCCATAGTTATTTCCCAGCCAGACTGAAAAGTAGAGTCCTCCTGTGAAGAGTCAGGTAGAACAATGGTCAGGGCACAGAACATTGGGATTTTAGAGACCTTCAACCGCAGGGCATTGTGGGAAGGCTCCCCCAGTACGTGCTTGTGCCGTAATTTATCCACCCGTGCTGTGGTTAGATAACTTTGGAAAATAACACAATGGCCAGCTTTCAATACATAATTTTCAATCATATTCTCTAATTATTCCCTCAGGATATATTCTTAAAAGTGAGAGTTCTGGGTCCAAGGGTATAAGAAAGCTTAAGATTGTTTTTACGTATTGCCAAATATTTTTCCAAATAGATTATTCTCAGCCGAAGAAAATACCCTTCTCAATAGGCCTTTGTAGATTTAGAACAATTACTTTGAATCACTTTACAATGTTGAATTGATGACCTTCTGCTGCTTTGGAAGTAATTAATGTGTGTTGAAAAATATTCATAAAATTTGCAACTTAAATAGAAGTAAGCTTTATAAATCCCTTTTTCTTTGAAATAAGAGAGTTTTACAGCAGAGTGGTAGGTACTGAGGAGATTTCTGATGTTAATGTTAAGATCTTGCATAACCGTGGCATGATCCTCCAATTTAAGCAACTATCATAGGTGCCAGACTATCAGCTGAACTCCAGTTGGTTCACACTCCCCAGTGCTCCTATGGCCCTTCTTCCTATTCTAGGCGCCCACACTGCACGTGCCTGTCATTCTCCTGGGCTTCCATCTCAGATGGCTCTATGGTCCTCCATGACCTGAGCAATTGTGAAGGGTAGTGGTCAGGCGTGCTGTGGGGTGCTCCGCAGTGTGAGTGTCCAATGTTCTCTCTAATAGTCTGAGCTTGCAGCTTTTGAGGAAGAGTCACGAAGAGCTGATGCTCCCTTCGGTCTTGTCCTCTTAGGGAGTGCGGTACGTCAGCACGACTTGTAGATGATGCTCAGCTCGGTTACTGGGCTCTGATGCCCGTTTCCAGGATCCCCTCTGCACACTGCGTTTCCCTTTCCATGTTCTTCAGAAAGGAGTCACCAAGCCCAACTCTGATTCAAGGGAAGAAAAATGAAGCCCTACCTTTTACTTTTATTTATTTATTTATTTTTACTTTTTAGGGAAGGGTCTACAGGGTGTTCAGGGTCTCACTACTAGATTGGACTCACAGTGATCCACCTGTTTACAGCCTCCCAAGTGCTGGGATTACAGGCATGTGTGACCACGCCCAGCCTAGCCCTACCTTTTAGATGAGGGAATATTGAAGAATTAGTGGCTACATGTGAAGACCATAGCAGAAATATTTTTATTTTTATTTTTTTAAACATATTCATTTATTTATTTGTTCATGAACACTAACATCATGCCTGGCATCATTCTAGAAAGTGGTGAAAAAATAAACATGGTCCCTTCCATGATGGAGCGTACAAAGTAGTGGAGAAGACATATTAAAGAGAAAATACATTGTAAATAAATGGATGCAACTAGAGACTATACTAGTAATTGAAATAAATCAGATCCTCATGTGCAAACATCATGTTATCTCACTGGTGTGAGAACCTGAATGAGTAATTAAAATCTGAAAGGTACAATAGATAGCATGAAAGGGAAAGAATCTAGTCAACAGGAAGGAAAAACGGGGATGAGGAGAAGGACAAAAGAAAGTGAAGAAGTCATATTTTATGTATATACATAAAATGTTTTGAATAATTGTACTGCTTATGTTTGGTCTTTTCTTTTTCTTTTTCTTTTTTTTTTTTGATGGTACCAGGGATCAAACTCAGGACCTTGTGCTTGCCAAGCAAGCACATATTCCACTGAGCTATCTCCCCAGCTTTTCTTTTTTAAAAAAATGTATTTAGTACAGGGTCAAAAGGGTCTCACCACACAGATCAGACTCGTAGTGATCCTCCTGTTTTCAGTGTCCCAAGTGATGGGATTACAGATGCACACCACCAGGCTAAGTCTCTCTGCTGGTCTTTTCAAAGAAGCAGTTAAGGCTTAAATTTTTTTTATTCTTATTTTTTATCTTTCTCATGAATTTCTTAAACTTTTGTGTTATTGTTTGTTTTGCTTTGTTTTTTCTTTAAACTAATCTTGCACATTTATATCTGGTAATCTCAACTATTCAAAGATGATGCAAATACAAACATGCAATACAGCAACCATTGTTGAATTCAAATTACTTTGTTTAGAGGAATTTTGTATCATTTCTAATGTTGTTTTTTATCACTGTATTTTTGTTTTTTTTATTTTTTTTTTAAATTTTTTTTTTATTTACGAGAGAGAGAGAGAGAGAGAGAGAGAGAGAGAGAGAGAGAGAGAGAGAGAGAGGTGTGGCCAGCTCAGCCCACCAGGGGGCGGGCTGGCTGGCATGTGGTGCTGGGGATTGAACCGCGGTCCCCAATGCTTTGCCAAGCTTGTTCTAAGTAGGTGCTTTAGACCACTGAGCCATCTCTCCAGCCCTAAAATCAATACCATTTTTTTTCTATTATTTTTCCTTTTGGAAGCAGGGATTGAACTCAGGCCCCTGCACATGCCAAGCAAGCACGTAATCTACTGAGCTATCTCCCAGGTCCCTCTATCACTGTATTTTTGAAGAGCAACAAATTTGACATGTAAGAAAGTCATTACAGAACACACACAATAGATCCTGTGACCAGAAAACTTCTCCAGTACAGGAAACTGAGAAGCACCTTATTGCTCAAACATATAGGTCCAGATGAACTGATCCCCAATATTCCTGCCTTTAAGGGTATATAAGCTTTAGTAAAGTGAAGAATAAAGGATGGAGCTTTGCCATGTCTATGAATAAAAATAAAGGAACACATAACTACTAACACATCATCATCATTACTGACACAGGCCTCTTTGTTGTCTATATTAGTCTCAAACTCTTGGTCTTCAGTGATTCAAAAATATTTTTTTATTGTTAGCAGAAATATTTTTAAATAAAAAAATGGGTGCACCTTGAATTCAGAATGTTAAATCAAA